GAGGTATGCAGTTGGTGTTAAATCCTATGTCATGTTCCTCAGAAGAGAAAGTACAAAAAAGGTTTTTATTTCATAACTAAAATTAGGCCTACCAAGAGTTAAATAGAGGAAACTTCTTTTTAAATCCACTTCTTATTGTCAGGCTTTCTTGTGCCTGGTCAGCCCACAGGCCAAGTCTGCTGCTCCTTCTCGAACCCCAGCCAGAAGCTCACACTTTAAACTGAGTCTGTTGTGCCCATTGCTGGTGTATAAATGAAAATTTCCAGGGATTGTAGGAGGTTGGGAGTTTGTAGCATTCAGGACTGCTTAATGAGCTTTCTTGGAAGACCTCATATAACACTAAAGCGTTAACTACAAGAAAATAGTTTCCTTAGAATGCCAGTTCTCTCGTGTAAAGTTTTTAACTCAATGCTGAAATTGCAGCAGTAGCTAAATTTTACAGATGGGGGTGCAGTGCAAGGCATTTTACATTAAATTTTTTATTTCAAAGGCAGGGAGACAGAGACTGAAAGATCTGCTCTCCAGTGGTTCACTCTGATATGCCCAAAACAGGCAGGGGTGGAGGGGTTAGGGCTGGAGCTGGCCGAAGCTGGACCACATGTAGTTGGTAGGGCCTGGGTGCTAGAGCCCTCTGCTGCTGCAGCTGCCTCCCAGGAGGCTGGCACTCTTGATACCAGGCAGAGTGCCCCAAGGCAGGGCTTAAGCACTGCACCAAACTCAGCCTGCCATTTTGCTTATGAATTAGAGTTTTTTCTTGAAATGCAGCTTAGCGTGTGAGTCAGGGCACGTGGGCTGGTGAATTTGAACATTAGGAGGTGCAGCGGCCCCTTCCAGGAGCCTTTGCTCCAGGACTGCCCGGGTCTGTGGGATGAGTGGTGGCTGGACAGCTGCTAGACGTCCTGCTGGTTGTTTGAAGACTGACTTTACCATATATTTTTTCACTAGGTTCCAATATCATTTGTGGATCGTGTTTATGGTGAATCCAAGTTGGGAGGAAATGAGATAGTCTCTTTCTTGAAAGGATTATTGACTCTTTTTGCAACGACATGAAAGTTACTCCTTTATGCTTGTCATGTCCACTTCAATTTAAACATGAAAGAATCCTGGTCACTGATGTTTATAAAATGTACTCTTAGAGCATTAACGATAAGGTAAGGTAAAATCCATGCAGATCTGTTCTGGAGAAAGTCCATTTTATATTTCAAATTAAATAATTTTAAAGTTACTGGTTGAATGAGCAGTGGTCTCAACTTTCCTTTGTGTTTCGCTATATTAAGATCTGTGAATAAATACATATAGATTTTTTTGCATAAAATACTGCTTTTATTAGAGCATGCCAATCCAGTATTTCTGGCATGAGAAAGTGTTTTGTGATAATTTTTATATAAACTAGATTCCTAGTTCTTTATATCTGCTTCATATTAGAAGTAAGATAAAGTTTAGGAACATGTATGAATTATGTTAGTTTCCATATGAATTAAAAATTAGATTTCTGGATTTTACTTAAAAATGTGTGTCTCTGATTTCTTAGATTGAAGAGTACGTTTGGGGCATGATGTTCAGTTGGGAGAATCTTGGTCACCAGCGAAGTCTCCTCCCCTTATATTGTGAATTGGGAAGCAGCGGGGTAGCAGCTAGTAGCATAGACTTTTTTCTCTTTTGAGTGATAACATCTATTAATAAGGACAAATACTGATGACACTCACACGTAAGCCTGGCTGCTGTAGTGATTTTTGAAAGCTTGTACTGAATCACTTTAAAGATGTTTTTCTAAAAACGTTTGTTTTCACAGAATTACAAGGCCCTCGGTGGAGCTCTTGTCCTCATTAACATGACAAAAATCTCCTCCGGAGCTCTGCATTCCAGAGGAGCTGTCAGCACTGGTTAGCTGCTCTATGGGGGCAGTTCAGACGCTCCTGGTAGGAACCCTCCCTAAAGCAGGTGTGCAGCCAACAAGAATTTTTAATTGTGGCATGACTTTGGGATCCTACAGTATCTTTAAAGTGAAGAAAGACATTTCTTTGAGCAAATATGCTTAAGTTAATTTTTCTTTCTAAATAAGATGTGTCTCAGTGATTTTAATAGCCATATTTAGCAGATAAGAATCCTAATAACTACATTTTCATGAAAGTCTGCTTCCATTTATATTTCTCTGATCCTACCAGAAATGAATACTAGATTATCAAATACTTTGGCACGATTTTCTGCATAAAACCTCTCCTCTGTGCTCATTGTTGAACCTGTAGTACCCATTATGGTAAGAGCCCTGCTGTGCTCTCTGCCTTTCCTGCGGCTGCTTAGCTGGTGTACCCAGAGACCCTTGACAAGTGGCTTCATTGGTAGCAACTGGAAAGTTAGTGTCTGTAAAGTTGGTTTTAAGTTGTGATTATAGAAACATAATAATTTCATTATTTGGGGAGTGTCTAGGATATATTTTCTACCCTAAATCTCAAGTTTTGATTTATTTATCTCAGAGCTCCACAAAGAGGAAGGACAAGCTCTCCCATCTGCTGGTTCACTCCCCAAGTGGCCACAAGAGCCAGGGCTTGACCAGGCTGAAGTCAGCAGCTGCCTTGGGTCTCCCTTTTGGATGCAGGCACTTGAAGACCTTCCCAGCACATTAAGTAGGAAGCTGAATCAAAGAGCAGCAGCCCAGACTTGAACCATTGCCTGTGTGGAATGCCAGCATTGCTGGCAGCAGCTTAATTCATGATAGCCCCCTAAAGTGTGTTAATACCCAGTGTATGGAGCAGAAATTAGAGATCCTCCTCTGGAGCTCACTAGAGGCACTAAGCTGCCCTCTTTACTGCCATCCTTGCTGGTCGGATTTAGAGTGTGGGACAAGGGAAGCTTTTGGATCATTTTTTGGAAACCATTTAGAAAAGAATCTGGACAATGTAGATGCCTTGTGATAATAAAGTTGATAACTTAAACACCTAGGTGAGTTTAAATACTCAAGTTTGAAGCTAGCGTCACTTTTGCTCCATAAATGAGGCCATGGATGAAATCCAGATGTTCTCTGCTGTATTTGTGTTATGTATGAAATATGAGTGTCTAAGGAAAACAAAAACATTCTTATTTAATGTCTCCTGTAGCCAATAATTAGTAATCTCTAGTCCTAGGAGTTGCCTGCTTTGCCTCTCCCCTTTTCATCTCTTTTGCTTTCCACAGAAACACTTGATTTGGCTTTTACAGATATATTTGATCGCAGATGCAAAGATAGTTTGGTATAGTTTCTAATTGAAGCCTTAGACATTGAAGTATGTGTAACCACAATTTATACACTACATGCAGTTGAGTTGGCTTTGGTGATGTTAAGTGTGGTTTGAAGCTCTTTTCAAAGTGAAACAGAAAAGACGGTTGTATTTACAGATTATTTATTGAAGACAGGGGCATGGTTAATCACACTTGGCATTTATTTGCAGTACATTTAACGAATGGCAAGCTGTCAGGTGCGGTCTGGTATAAAAGTGTGTTCAGCAATGGGAGGTCAGGTAGTAGTTGGGACAGTCGAGCACCAGCCCTAATCCCTACGGCTCCCAAGTATGGGCCCTAAGGCTGTGCCTATTTCCCAACGCTGGGGCTCCCATTTGTTTTTCTCAGGCCAAGGAGGAGAGTCCATCACTGACTGAAGAAAGAATGGCCTATCTGGGCACGACAGCGACCTCCTGTAGAATTCTGACCCTGTCCACGCACTGCCCCCACCAAGAAGAGCTTGGGCCGCCCCAGGGCTGTGTCTCATCACGAGTCGGGGTGTGAAGCACGAGGCTCTCACGCCTCGTTTAAGGCTGATGTCCCTGCCCCTTGCCTCTGCTGCCCAGCCCAGGAGCGCGCCGCCCTGCAAGCACGTGGGGCCGTCCGGGCTGCCCTGCACACCCCTCCCTCCAGATGTAGTCCAGGCCCATCGGGGCCCGCGCAGGGATCCCCAGCACGGCCACCTGACTGAGTGCTGGGCGTGCTGCGGCCCGCTGCTTGTGCCTCCGCCGCCGGCGCTGCGGCCGGAGGAAGGCGCCCGCCGAGCCCACGGCCCCGGGAGCGCACTGCGGCCATTATGCACGGCGCCTCCTAGCGGGGCAGTGGCAAATCCCGCTTCTCGCGAGAGCTCCCCTCAGTGGGGATTATATAATTTCCCTTAGGCGAGTGTGGGGGTGCTGGGGGCATCCACTTTCAGGGAAAGTTTGGTGCAGGCATGGGTGGGGAGCTAGAGGGCTGTCCCCGGGGGGCATGGTAGGAGAGGGGCCTGCCCTCCCAGGGCCCCCCCATCTAGCTGGACAATGAGTCCTCTTATGCTAATGAGGCCCTTACGTCACTTCCGCTCTTTCTCGGCCGCCATTTTGGCTAAGGCAGGTTCGGGGACTCGCTCCGAGGCGCTTGTATTGTCTGCCGAGGGGAGACGCGGGATCGGCCCCCTCCCCCGCCCGTGGCCGCCGCCGCCTCCGCCGGCCCGGTCTCCCCTCCGCCGCCCGCCGGGATCCATGAGCTGAACTCCCGCCCCCCCGGCCGCCGCCATCTTGTGCCCCCTCCCCCTCCCGCAGGCAGCGCTAAGGGGGATTTTGGCGTCTCCTCAGACACAGCTCCCTCTCTCGGTCTCCGCCGCCGAGGAGCGAGGGGAGCGTGGCCGCCGCCGCCCGCCCGGCCGCGCCGGTGAAGCCGCCTCTCCCACGCCCTCCGTCTCCTCCCTCCGCCCCTCCTTTGTCTGCACCGCTCGACGCCGCCGCCGCCCGCGCGGGGTCCGGAGCGAGCCGCTCGCGCCGCCGCCCGCCGCTCTGCTGCGCCCGCCGCGCCCCCCGGCAGGAGCCGCGGCCGCGGCGCGAGCCGGAGCCCGAGCGCGACGAGGCCCCGGGCGCGCCCTGCCCGCCCTCGCCGCCGTGCCGCCGCCATCCGCCCGCCGCCGCCGCCGCCCGGCCCCCGAGCACGCCGGCCCCGCGCGCGCCTCGAGGCCGAGCCAAGGTAAGCTCCGGCGCGCGGCCCTGCCCGGCCCGGCCCCGCAGGCGCGGGGCGCATTGTTGTCGGCGCTGCCCCGAGCCCCGTGCGTCCCCGCTCCCGGCCCGGCCGTGTGCCTGGGGGCCCGGCGTCGCCGGTTGCAGCCCGAGCCCCTCCGCGGCCAGCAGCTAGCCCGGCCGCTCCGAGCTTTTGCAGCTCGTGGCATCTCCCCCCACCCCGCCCCCAGCCGGCACCGGGCTCCTCGGGCTCCTGGAACTCGGCTCTCCACCACCACCCCCACCTTGCTAAGCAGCCCCCCCAGCCCTCAGCGAGCCCCCCACGCACACCTCCAGTGCCCGGAAGGAGCCTGCTGCCAGGTCGGCCCAACCTTAGCTGGGGGGCGGGGAGCATGCACGGTTCGGAGCAAAAGTGTCTTCCTCCCCAGTATGCCAGCTTCCCAGCTCTCCACCCTTCTCGGGCTCAGCTGCCTGCTCAGCGAAGCAGCTCAGGAGCGCTTCTGAGCCCCAACTTTGCAGGGAGGTGGAAGAGAATGGAAATCCAGAAAGCTGCAGGGATTTGATTTTTAATGCAATGAATGGGGAGTAGTTCTTTGAGTACCCTCTTATTCACCTCTTCTTTGCTGTGGGCTCTCTGCCTGCTTCCCCCACCCGCCAACCTAATGCCTGCCTGCTGGAAAAGGCGCGATTGCTTCTCTTCCTCTTCTGCCCAAGCCCGGCTCCCAGCTCTGGCAGCGCTTCAGCCACACACCCACACCCCCTCCACACCAAGTCTTCTTGATGGCTTTGCATTCACCAGTTCTTCTGGATAGTTCTTGCCACATCCCTATTTCACAGACAAAGGCTTAGGAGTGAAAAAGAACCTAACTGTTTCCTGCCCTTTTAATGCTGTCCATCTCCACACACCCAGTTCCCATCCCTGATGCTTCTTGTGTCTGTGTCTTGAGCCTGCAAGATGAACACCAACGAAAAAATCTCTTGGATTGCCTGCTACAGTTTCTTTGTAAATCTGCATTGTTGCTTCTGGTTTATGGCCATGAAGAAAATACCAGCCCCCACCCAAAATGCACCGCAGCCAAGTCGGCTAAAGGCGATGAGTGTTGGAGTCAGTAGGGGGCGCATTCTCTGCACTGGGTAAGGCTGCAGAGGGGGGAAGGGCCCCAGCCAGGACAGGATGTGCTTCACAGCGCCTTCTACAGACCACGGGGAAATGGGCCCAGCAAGACGCACACCGCACTCAGAGTTGACAGCAACATGGCGAGGCTTCAGGGAGTCAAGAGCAGTGATTTTTTTTCTTGGGAAGAATCTACTCTGCAGCATACAAGTTTTCTCTTGGCTTTGACAAAGCTGTTGACCCTTAGACAATCCACACTCTTCATAAGCAATCACCTTGACACATCCTTTCTTTTCTGGAATTCCAGAATTCTTCCACCTTAAGCTTTGAAAATGTCAACATGTCTTTGCAAGGTCAGGTGGTGCAGGAGGTAGTTTCAACCCTGGGAGTCGTGGGTTTGGGACATTGGTGACTAACTCCCTCCTTCATGATCCAAATCTTTCCAATCCTGGGAGAGTTAAAAGTCATTCTTGAGGGGTGTGAGCTTTGTGTGGGGTAGTAAATTTGATAAGTGTGTAGATGGGTGTCAAGATTTGCAAAGGCTTGTTGGTAAACTTCAAGCCCATGTTGGGTTCTTCACTGTCCAGCTCAACAGACTGGAGTGTGAAATTGTGTTTCTTTCCCTCTTTGGACTCATGGTTGCCCTTCGTTATCTCGGTAGCCAACCACCTTTGCAAAGTGTTGACACACCAGTCTTCTGTGAGCACCCACTGTCTTGGGGTGTGTTGATTTCTGTAGATTTTACTCCTCTTGTTATTTCCATAGGTGTGAGATGCACAGTGCGAAACCTAGGCCCCAGCTTTTGCGCCATGATGCACAGGGTTGTACTTTTTGTACTGAGCTGATAGGTGGCCTAGTGGTTATGTCCTGTACTGCCATTTTGAGGATCTGGACTCCGTTTCCCGCCTTGCTCTTTGGACCGCATTGTCAATTCACACCGGTGGGTATAATCATTTTGGAGGGTGGGGACTGCAGCAACAGGGCAGAAAGACTGCTTCCTCCTAGGTCACCACCCAAGGCAGCACTTCCAGAATCTCAGCTAGCCCCATTCCCCAGAGCCAGGTGGAGTAGGTTGCCATAGTGGGCCCTTAACATCTGCGAACCTTACAGATGACTTAAAGTTTAAGGGACTCGTATCATAATTACTTGTGTCTAAAATATGTTAAATACTGATCGAGTGTTACTATGATGCCCAATCTCAAAAGTTGTTAGGCTTCTGGGAGCCTTAAGCCTCTGATCAGAACCTGTCTCTCCATGAACTTCTTGCCACCAAAGACTGACAGTGGTGGTTGATGTGTACAGTATGCTGAAGGCTCCTTGCAAGCTTCTGTGGATGAGCTAATGTGCATGTACGGGTGTGCACTGAATGGGTGTGTCCTTTGATAACACTGTTAATCAGCTGATGCGTATGGGAAATATGTTTTGTTGGCCAATTGCTACTAAGTAATATTTGGTGAATGAAATGTAGACAGCTTGGTTCAGGTATTTCACTGTAGGCTACATGGTTCTACAATTCTGTTATGGTAGATATTTAGTATAATGGTATTTGTCATTTTAAAACTACTCTGTAGTGTTTATGTAATATATATAAGTTTTGACACACTGGGTGTGTGATATACATTAGTTAAGCTCTTGAAATGAATAATTTGAATGCCACTTCTTTTTTGAGATGGTTTGCAAAGGTGTTTTATCTAATTTAGCGAATTCCAGATAAGATGTGGTGCTAACTGATGTCTAGTTCTGATAGCTGTTTTCCCTTATGGGAAGACTTTCCTGTAAGCTCTTAGAAACCATCAAGAACAGAGTTTGAAACTTTTGCTTGTTTAGACACTCGGTAGCAGTGAAGGTGAACCAGTAGGGCTGAAGGCTGGGGTTTACAATAGGTGGACTGTAAGGATTCATTGAAGTATCCGTAATAAACTGGCGGCGGAGGAGTGAGTTTCCTGTTCGGCTCAACTTTAAATGGACATTGCTTCAAGCTTTGCCGCAGTGGCAGTATTGTAGCCAATGAGGTTTATCCAAGGCGTGATTATTGCTAATTGAAAATAGAAATGGCTTCTTTATTTTAATGCTTGTTGAAAATTTTCCCTTGCATGTCTTACTGTAAGGCTGTTAAATATTGAAACTGTATCTTTAACTCTGATTCTTACAGCTGCCATTTAGAAGTATGATAGTTGGGCCTGTGGGCCTCAGGAGCCCCTGATGCCTAGGCATGCCTGCTGAGTTTACAGTGGTTACACAGTGCTCCTCCTCCTTAACCGGTGCATGAGTTCTAGGCGTAGTGTTTGCGTTCAGACACACCTTCCCCACGATGCCAGCAGCAGTCAGCTGCTATCAAGAACACCTGTTAATGTTCATTCCAGCACACGGGCAGAGAGGGCCTTACCATGTATGCTTGATTAGAGGCATAGGTGTATAAGGAATACAGTACATATAAACTTGTTGCTTTTTTTGGTATCTGCTTAAAACTTCTGAATAACCTACTGAAAATAAGCGTTTATATTTAGAACACTGAAACAATGAGAAATACAGGAGCACTTCAAAACTTGATGAAAATGGAATTGAAATGTTTATTTTATGTGGGTGAAAATTCTTCAGATCCATGCATAGTTTTTTCATAATACGCATTTTCCTCCTGAAATGACCTCGTAAGTTGGTGGATTCTTTCAGATGTTGTATACACGCTGGCTGCATGTTCAGTTATGAAAATTGCAATTTAATATGGAAGGAAAGCCATTGTGTTTGTGGTACAGGGTTGAAGTGTAGGTTTTTTTCTCTTACGAATCATGGATTGTATGCCTGTGTGCAGTAGCGAGTAAGTAACTCCGTTAATTGGGGATGTGCACAAACACATCAGTGCAGTGTTTCTCTAAGAGCTGGAAATGAACATACCAGATTTAAGCTTTTTTTATAGATCTTTAAAAAGAAAAAAACTGTTTAAACCTTAGTGAAGTGAAGATTAAAAAGTTAGATAAAAAGAACAAAACTATGAAATTTTTGTTTGTAGTAATGCACCAAGATGCCTGACACTGTGGTACTGGTTTAGAAGAAGCTGCTGCTTCAGACTGGACTTCTTAAATTTTTTGAATTTGAGTTAGCATCCTATAGTTTCTCTGGTCTCAAATTAAAATGAGTTTCATGAGAATTTAACGCTCATTCATCGCCTGAGAGGCGCGCACTGAGAGAAGTGTTGCTCCCCGTGTGAACATTCGCATTCATTAGACTGGCCGCCCTTGATGTTTTGTTGCATAGATTCCCTTCCCTAGTTGTTCCCCTGGTTTTTCTGAGAGCATGAGGTATTCCCTGGAGCTAGTGCTGCGTCCTGTTGCAGGTGCATCGCTGTTAGCTTGGAAATTGTTCAAATCTGGATGAAATCAAAGCTCCCTACTCATTTTAAATATAAAAACTGTTTTTGTTTTGGTTTGTTTTTTGCATTCACTTTTTTCATTTGCATCATTGAAACACTGTAAGATAAATCATACCGAATGACCATTGTGACTTTCTACGTTTTAATTAGAAAGTTGAGTGGGGGAGGGTTGTGTCTCTGTAGTCTGCACATCTTCATTCCCTTCTCCCTGTGTTTTGCCATCCGCTACCTTTGCTGTCTGCCTGTGCAGAGCTCAACCTAAGTGAGCACATGTCTGCTTCGCTAGGAGACAGCTTCATTCCCATTGTCCTGCTCAAATGGGAGTGTGTGGGAGTGTATGCATGTCTGTGTAAGCAGTCTCAGGGAAATGAGAGCCACAAAGTGAAGGGACAGTTTGGATGGGGATGCAGTTCCACTCAGTGCAAATCCTTCTGCTGTTTACCTTCCAGTTGCTTCTGCTTCGTGAGCCTTCAGTTCTCTGAGCAGCACTCACAAGCCGCCTTCCTTTGATTGGTCCCTACTTTAGTTCCCCAGCGCCAAGTAGAGAAATCCTAGAAGGTCTCAGGAGTTTCAGCACTGTTCCAAAAACAAATGTTTGGAGAAGAAGAGAGCACGGGAAACTTTAGAGTATACACAGGGAACATAACTTAAGGGGCCTGTGTTGTAGCATAGTGGGAAAAACTGCTGCTGCCAGCATTCAATAATGACACCAGTTCATGGCCTAGAAGAAGCATCAGAAGATGACCCGAGTGCTTAGACCCCTGGACCCATGTTGGAATCCTGGATGAAGCCCCAACTCCCACCTGACTCAACTCTGACTGTTCACAGTCATCTGGGGAATGAACCAGTGGGTGAAAGAGCTCCAGTTCTAGATTTGGATTTTCAGATTAAAAAAAAAGAAAACCGACGTATAATCTAAAAGAAACTCATACAGTATTCGACCAGCTGTTAGAGTTAAAAAGTGAATGTGCGTTTCCTAGTACTCAGTGCAGTAAGGATATAGAAGTGTAATTATGTCACCCAGCCGTGGGCTGTTGTGTTCTACTTCTGTAGGGATGAGCTGGGAAGATAAGATCCTGTTGCTGACTATTCTGGTGTACCCTTATAAATGACTTCCATTTTATTTTTCGATCCCTCTGTAATCCGTTCTCAATTCTGTGGGGACTGTCTTTGATTGACAGACAAGCAGAGAAGTCAAGTCACCACTGCATCCACTGATGGAGTGAACATGCCAGGGGTGCTTGGTTCCCAGACCAGGACTAGAACACAGGCCGCAGTGGTGACCCTGGGGCTGTGAGGGGTCACAGGGCGCCAGGGTTGCTTCTGATTTTGTAGTAGTAGTAGTGTGTGTGTGCGCCACATGGGCTGAAAGTTAAACCATTCACACCCCTAGCAATAGAATACAGGTATACATTGCACAGGTGACAGTTAAAGTAACCTGTCACCTTTGGAGTTACCTGTTTGAGTATCTAGAAAGAAACTTTGTTGATGGACCCTTTGCTTTTCCCAGTGTTTTAGTCTGGGACAGTCTTCTTCCTTCCCTGAGCAGTTATTTTTGCTTAGACAGATAATTATCAGCTGGCTTTTACTCTTTCTTTTTCCAAACTTGTTATGCTCCATTTCAGACCATGTGGAAATCTGCACTTCCCTTGCTGATCTGTGAAGTTCTTTTCTTTTGGCGTTAGTACCTTAATTGGTAACTGTCAGTGGTCTCTTGCTTCTAATAGGATGTGTTGAGCTTTTACACTGCACTTACAAGAGTGAAGCCAGTACTGTGCTTGCTTGCTAAGGCTGAGACGATCCCAATGTAGTGACTACTCAGAATCTGGTTCAAGATGTGTTGTATTTCAGAATAATACAAGAAAATAGCTAACACTGTAAAGATTGAACCATCAAGTGGCAAAAAGTGTTTTTAAAAAAATGGTTGTGGAAAACTGCCTTTGGCTAAGCTTTGACCCTGAGAGATGGCTTAGAAAGACAATTGGTAACGTGATTTAGACAAGTTGCTCTGTCATTCAGCAATAGTTCTGTTATTTCCGCTACTGTGGGAATTTTTTCTTTTCTGAGGAGTTTTTGATAGAGACTTTGGCCCATCCTATATTACTTTCCCAGGCCATAAGCAGGGGCTGGATGGGAAGTGGAACAGCTGGTACCTATTCAGGATGCTGGCACTTGCAGGTGGAGGATTAGCCGACTGAGTTATCATACCGGACCCACATTTGCTTTTCTTAAAAGTATGTGGATCACCAGTGTTCTACGACTTTCAGACTAAATGTCTAGTGGCTGAGATGGATGTTCTCATATAACAGGTTAAGCTTGAGATTCCTGCATCTTCAGTCACAAGTGCCTAATTTGAACATCGGCTCCTCTACTTCTGATCGAGCTCCCTGCTAATGCATCCTGGGAGGCAGCCAATGATGGCTCATAACTTGGCTTCCTGCCACACAAGTAGGATACCCAGATGGTATTCCATGGTGTTTGACCCAGCTAGCTCCAGCTGTCACGGATGTTCAAAGAGTGTAAGTATGTTAGAGATCTCTCCCTCAATTTTCTCTGTGGCTGAACTGACCTGT